AGTCAGAAGGAAACAATGAAATCCTGCTCATGTTCTGAAGCTGAGAACACAGGTGGTTCCAGTTTCCAGTTTTATAATTGAGAATGATAGTATTAAGCTCATCTTTATGAAGATTAAATGAGATCATCATTTAGGTATTTAGCACAGAGCTCTGGCACATTGTAAATGTTCAATAAATGCTAACATAACATTAATAACACTAATATATCTTGGGAACCCCTTTTGGGCCTCAGCTAACACATCAATAAAGACAAGTGATAAAGCAATGTCACAGGTTTGTGTATGTAGGGCTCTAGAGAGGTCTTGGGTACTTAACAGCTGCTCAATAAATGTTAGTTCTCTCTCTCCTAAGTGTTCCTCTCTCCTCTCACCCAATTCTGACGTTCCCAATTCAGAGTGCATCTCCCACAGTGGACAGCAGACCAGGGCAAAGGTCTCCTGCCTACGACGTCTGCCCAGCACCATGGTCCTCTTTCCTGTTTCACCTCACATCCCCTGCTGAGCCCAGTCCAAACCCACCACCACCCTCCCACCTGCCTAACAGACTCAGTCGCCCACTCCACTACTATGCTTCCATATTGACAAATTTGCAGCCAGTAGACTATACTCACAGTGTGACAGAATCATTACCACCTGCTAATATTTTTATAGAATTTCATAAACTTGGTCATTCATGAATCATTTACAGTACTTTATTCCAATAAAGAGTTCACAAATCACTCAAATGCTGGCAAAATACATAATAACGAGTAATATTTCAGGAGCCTTTGCGTTAATATGTCAGCTTCCGATAGTGCAAGAGGTAAATTATTTTGTCAGGTGCCACTTCAGGCCAGAAGCACGGGAAGCCCTCTTGGGGGCTGGGGTAGAGAGAGTGGGCAGGTGGCAGTGGGTCATGGAAAAAGACGGTATTTAGGAAGAAATAGATCAGCCAGACAGTCAAACTTCCTTCCAAGCCCCAGTAAGTGGAGTTCCTGGGAAAGAGGCCTGGGAATTTGCAGATTAGATATCAGAGTCTGGTTGGGGGTAAAATAGGAAGAAGCGTTTCTTAGTGATGGAAAATGCACGACTTTGGAGGTGGAGAGAAACAGATACGGATCCTGGACTCAATACACACAAGCTGGAAGACCTTGAAAAAGTGATTTAACAGTTATTTACTTATCTGTAAAATGGTGTTAACACTAACTTAAGTCTCTTGTATGAAATGGATGAAATGAGAGAATGTATACGAGGTGTTTAGTGCAGTATCAGCCACGTAGTGTTCAATAAACAGTAGCTTTAATGATGATACACATTCAGGGGACCAAGGGCAAATTTATCCCAGATTATTATTTTTTTTTCTGAGGAAGATTCGCCCTGAGCTAACGTCAGTGCCAATCTTCCTCTATTTTTTAGTGTATGGGCTGCCAGCGTATCATTGCCGCTTACAGAGTGGTGTAGGTCCACATCTGGGAACTGAATCTGGGCCGCCGAAGCAGAGCATGCTGAACTTAACCACTAGGCCACCGGGGCTGGCCCCCAGATTATTTCTTATCCTGCAAATTCCCAAGGCTCAGTTCACAGTGTTTTCTTGTTGGATTTGGGAAATGATAGCACAATAGCATGGACTTGCATGTGAGTGGCACTTAACTTGAAAATAAACAACAGCAACAACAACATTGGAGTAATTATAATGGCAATCCACTCACTCACATGCTCTCTGCTTTTTAAACTTGCAAGAGGGAAAATAAAATGTGGGAATTGGAGACGAAGGATTCAGTTCTTTGAAAATGCAGGATTGCTCCCAAACACAATAACCGCCATGAACACGATGGATCTAACTGTCGAACTAAGACAGTCAATTATTTCTAAATAGGTGCTTGAAATGGACCAGAATTGCAACATTCTTGTGCCCAAAGTATATTAACAAGAGAGTAACCCGGTTCTCATTAAATCTAGAAATAGGAGCACCAAACGCAGGCTAATAGGGGACCTTCCTCAGCAAGGACGTGAAGAAAACAGGACAAAGAATTGGAGAGCGAGAGGCATGGAGGGAAGTGGCATAGAAATTGGGCCCTCCTGGTGCCAGTGAGGAGTGGCTCAGGGCCGGGCTGCAGCGCGGCTGATGGAGCCCTGGGCCTTGTGTAAGACGCTGCAGCCTCTCCACTGGGAGCATGTGCCCCTGGGCCTGGGGTAAACCAAGCCAGACAGTGAACAAGGCACAGCCTCCTGGCATGTCTCCTGTACACAATGGTGAGGAATTTAAATTGGTTTATTTTGAAATGAATCTGAGGCACTAAAATGAAGGCTACCTGCAGGCGGGGAAGCTGGTGTGTCTTACTCCCCTACCACCTTGGAGGGCGCCCTCACCCTGTAAGTACTCAATCAAATGTAGAATGAGTGAACTGGTCAGTCAGTCAATATACCGTGAAGTACGTTAGGCAACTCTGAACCCAAGATTACTCAAAGACAGTTTATGCTTGAGACAGGCAGTGGGCTAAGACTCAGAGCCTTGGAGTTTCTGTTTACCTTCCTCCGCCTTCAGCATCGTTAATCTCTCTCACTCATGTAGTAAGATTATACAGTGCTTGCTATGTTTCCTGCACTGTTCTAAATGCTTGACACGTATTAACTCATTTAATTCTCACAAAATCCTGTGAGATCAGTATTATAATAATTACCCCACTTTTACAGATGAGCAGGTTGAGGAAGACTCCCTGCCCAAGTTCCCACAGCTAGTCCATAGCAGCCATGGTTTGAATTCAGCCAGTGTGGCTACATGCAAAATCATGTTTTTAACTGCTGCGATACTATATGCGTTCACTTGAAGGAAAAATATGAGGAGCTCCAAGCTACAGACCAGGCTCTATTCTACTAGCTGAATAGCAGTTACTAGTTAGCAAAAACTAGTAATTTCATCTTTTACAATCCTTAGAGATACTAGTATATTGTCACTTTATGGATGAGAATCACAAGATCAGAGAGGGTAAGTGGGTTGCCCAAGGTCACACAGTTCGGTAAATAGCAGTGCTGAGATTTGAATCGTGATTTTTCCAACCCCACAGCTCTTGATCTTCATCACTATGATATGAAATTATGAAATTTATTGTATTCTTAGTTCCTTGTATCTGAAAATTAATGGATATTCCCATGATAGGTGTGGAAAGGGAAGAGGGCATCTACCCATGGTCTGCTACCGGCTTTTCCTGCAGCAGCTGGACACCAACCAGGTGACCTCTGGTTACCGTCAAGGCCAGCTGGACCTGGGAATTTCTGAAGATGCCAGCATTCAGTTTCTACAATAACCGGATTCCTCCTTGGGTGTATGATGAGGACACACTGCTCACCCTTTGGCATTCCCTGACAGATGGTACACCTGTGGATGCCTACAGCAGCTGCCCTTTGGCAAAGCTTCTGAGAAGGAGGCTTAGAGGCACCCTCATCCTCTCAGGACCTGGGGCACTTGAGCACATTGCTCAGCATGAGAATACCTTCCTGCAACTACTGATATTTGTCCAGCACTTTAATGCCCTCAACGCCCTCACACTGTCTTCTCCTCACTTGAAACTCACAGCAATCCAGCTGGGTAGGCAGGCAAGAGGTATTCACATTTTATGATGGGATCCTGAGGACCAGCCCTTACATGGCCTTCCCAAGGTCAACAGCTCATAGTGACCGAGGAGGCTAGACTCAGGGTACTCATTTCCCAGCCAGAGCACTTGACTTGCCAATGCAATGTCCCTCCAGCCCCTGTCTGCAGAAAAAGAACACGGAATTTTTGGGGAGTGAGACTAGTGGTGTTGAAGTGGTTTTGGGATGCTCTTATGCGGTGTTTTGACCAAGAAAACCAGAGATGCCAAATCCAGCCCTAGAAATTGGCCACCACCCCCAACCCCAATCCAGGAAAATGCACACATGATGGGCAACGGCAATGGAAAGCAAACATTTTGGCTGGGCCTTGTTCCCACAGTGCCTGCTTCCTGCTCAGTGCACTGCATCCTATGGAGGGTTTTTCCTGAAAATGTTTCGGAATTTCATCTGATTCCTCAAAGAATGAGCTTACTACCCTGGGAGGCTTGGGTCCATAACACAGGCTGTGAGCATGGAACTGTTTTGGGAGTGTGGTACATGAGGGATAGGACTGACCTCGAGCCTCGATGAGATTTAGGGCTCACCCCTGTATCTGTTTGCAACCGCTCTGGTCTCTGTGTACTGAATGCATATCAACTTCTGAAACTAGCCTTTTACAAATAATCTTTTATTTCTCCATATAAAAGTAATACAAGCGCATTGTAGAAAAATCAGAAAAACAAAGAAAAAATCAATAACACCCAAACACAATCATTAACACTTTGATTTTTCTTCATAAGCGTACACGTATCATGATATGTGCAAACACTCAGTCTGTGATGAGGATACCATATGTGTTTGTGTGTCTGTTTCCATTTGATACCTTGAATCTCTCCCAGATAACTAGAACTACTTCAAAAATATTTTAAATGGTTGTAGCAAACTTCCTTGCAAAATTGTGCCATAATTTAACCACTACCCTATTGCTGAATACTTAGCAATTGTTTCAGTTTTAGGCACCATGTCCTGCTATAACATCACTGTGCAAGAATCGAACTAAATTTTTCCCTATTTCCTTAGGATAGATTTCTAAAAGTAGAATTATCGAGTCCAGGAGGGTTTACTTTTTACAGCTCTTGATTATCAAGCTGGTTTCTGGAAAGCCAAAGCTGACCTAAGGGTTCTGACCTCCTCAAGACTCCTGCAGGGTGCCCCTTTCTTGGTCTCCAGTGCCCAAAGTCTCACTCAGGCCTAGGGGGCTCCGTTGATGAGATAGGAACCCCCACCGTTGCCCTGTCAGGGTTCAACTCCACTCAGCTCCTGCAGAGACACACTTAAAGCCGCACAGCCCCGGGTCTGATGAAGCACAGGAATAATGAGCTCAGCGGGGAGAAAGCAGTCTTTGAAAGCCACATCTCTGCGCGCAGAGCGGGCACTGGAGGGGTACTTACTTGATAAGTAGCGATCGTTTCTCTGTCCAAGGTCCGTGTCACAGAGACGCTACCCGTGTTCTCATTGATTCTGAAAATTCCTTTAGGCTCTTGGTCCACTCCTTTTCCGGTGAGCCGGAACTTGGACCCTTCCGGTCTGTCACTATCGACTACCTGGTCAGAGAAACAGAGCGACATTTAAGACTCTGCTGGAAAACAGAGAAAGCACATTACAAACATACCTCAGTGAACAATCCACCAATCACAGGCGCCCACACAAAGGTGCTGGATGAACTGGACTAAAGCAGCATTGCCAAAAATAGCATCATTGCTTCACACTTTTCATCCTAGTGTGCAAATCTATGCAGCTTACAGCTGGGGAAGCTCACCAGCACCGGGGTGCCGGATCTAGGTGGGAAATAATTCCTATATAGTGATAGATCTAGGAGAGCAATGACACCAGGAAGTTCAGGTTGGACATTTATATTATTTTTAACTCCAAAGAAACAGACTTTTTTTTCTGCAAGCAAGACCAAATAGGCAATGGAAAAGCAACATTTACTCGACAATCCTATACTAGGCAGGCGTTGATCAAGGTTCTAAGTATTTATATGTATCAGCCATCAGCAGTGCCACCTCCATTGTTTCTACCATGTACTAGTCACAGTGCTGAGGAAGCATTTTACACACATTTTTTAAAAACTTCACAACAATGTTGGGGGCGGGAGACATTATATTCATACTTAATGGATGAAACCACTGAGACACAGAGAAATTAAGCAAGCTGGCCATGGTCACAGCTATTAAAGAAATGAAGATGAGATTCAGAGCCCATCTTCCATTTCTCTAGACATGGCTATGCAACACCGTCATGTCTGAATTTACTTTAAGATAATTCCCTACAGGTTGGCAGTCTTGATTTGACATTTGAAGACTAAATACAGAAGATAAAGATGGAGGAAGGTAGTTTGAGGCAGAGGGGCAGCACAGACAGAGGCAGCGGGCAGGCGAGAGAGCCTAGAAAATTCCAAAAACTGTGAGTCCTTAGCATGTTTTGAGCAGAGGTGAGGTCAAGAGGTAATTAGGGACCAAATTATGTTGTTTGTTTGTTTTATGGCATCTGAAAGTCTCCAACTAAAGAGGGAACTATCATTTGCATAAGTTTGTTCTAGAGTTTGCCCAAGTATTCATCTATATTTAATGTCACTTTATCATCAATATCTGTGAACATTAATTCGATTATAACAACAATTTAAAGGTCATGAACACGTTAGACATTCAAAACAGAAAGCTAAAAGAAAGCAGATACTGATCCAGCTGCAACCAATTTACAAATGAGCAGGCATCTTTTGGAACACCATCAACCACGGCTGGAGGGTTTAGGTGGCCAGGACAGGAAATGTGCCTTCTCCTGATGGAATCAGCCTCTCCTGGGGGCCATTTCTGTCACCACCAAGCCTGCAATTCTGATGGCTGCCACCAGGTGGCAGTGGTGCCTAAGGCATCATGACCCTCACGACAAGGTTCCTCCGCCATGATCAGTAAGAGCACGATAGAGTTCAAGACGGCAGTATAGTTTTTTCTCATCTAAAATGTCCTTTATTAAAATACAGTGAGAGTTTTGATTAAACACCAATTACCTCTGTTTGCATTTTTAAGATAGAAAATATCATCTAAAGCAAGACTAAAAATAAGGTGTGCAACATCTTCTGATGAAAATAATTTTTAGTCACTGCTTGACTTTTTAATCCAACTGACATTCTCCCCTGACCCACCCCTTCTGCTTGGAAGCTCCATGAGGGCAACAGCCTCAGCATGTCTGGCTCACCACTGGACCCCAGGGGCTGGCACCGTGTCTGGCATACAGCAGGAACCAAAGCCAATACCTGTTTAGTCAGGAGGACCACCGTTCAGACAACCCTGTTCCTGTCCTAGCCTGGCCAATGATCAGCCGTGTGACCTTGAACACGATACTTTCTCTTTTTGGCTCTCAATTTCCTCATCTGTAAAATGAGGATCACACCACTTATTCCCCAGGGTTGCTGAGGGTTTAATGAGATAGTGTGTGAAAGGACAGTTCTCAGCACATAGAAGGGGCTCCATAAATCATAGCTAATGATTGCAATGATAATAGTAATAATCATAACAAAATTGTGCCTTTGTTGTTAATGGGTAAGACTGACACTTTCAGGCATAAAAAAGCATCTTAGCTTTTAATATAAAAAATCCCTTTCTAAGGGAAGAAATTTCCTTTTAAAAAACAGAACTCACAAACGTCTCTGGTTTGAGAAGAGAAGTGTTCTGGAAACAGATACTGTGGGAAGGGGCGGCTGAGCAAATGCTGCTCTTTGTCACCTCCACGTTTACTGTCACTCTCCTCCCCCTCTGACCATTTCCACCCAAACGTGGACTAAAACCTCTTCCTCTTGCTCCCCTAAGCACACCCAAGATAGGCAAGTCCTCTACAAAAGGCCATATTAACCTAGAAGCATATTGAATGAGAAATGAACATGGGAAACCTACAAGAGCTATGGAGCTGGCCTGCTTCCCAAGAATGGACTTCTGACCCCATCTGTCTACCAGACACGGCTCACTGATGAGGACCTGCCAAAGAAGCTTTCTGTGCTCTGATCTCCCTTCTTGACCCTTCACTGCTCAGAAAGAGTTGGTAGCACAGAACCCCGGACCTTCTGGAAGAAACACAGCAGGAGATGGCCCTGAAAGCCCTCCCATTTCTCCACCTGCCAATCAGTATGGAAAGCTGAATTCTAGACTCAGAAATTCTCCCAGAGTGCCTTTTCCTCCTGCTGTCGAGGTCTGGGTCGTTTCTTTGCTCTTTCTCAGAGAGCTTGAGCCACTCTACCTCACTGAAGCAAGGTCTTGGAGAGAGGACCCCATTTAGTTAGTGCCGGCTGCTAGATTTAAATGACTTATTCCTTAGGGAAGGAGCTAGTCCCTGCTGTGAGCACCTCTGCTTAGTGCTGCATAGTCTTCTCTCTCTGTTTCTCGCAATAATTTTGTTTTTAAAGGTCTTGCTTTTAATGTATCTGTTGAACCTGCCTCCTGGGCCTCAGACCTGTGTCCACTTTGAAGGAGTGTCCATAGCCACATCAGGCACAGTGCCTTCCTTACAGAGAAGCTCCTAGAATGAGGAGATGTGGTTCCCTAGACCAGCTTGGGCATCTCTTGGGAACTCATTAGAAATGCAGATCCTCAGGCCCCACCCAGACCTCCGAATCCGAAGCTATGGGGTTGGGTCCTCGCAATCTGTGCTTTAACAAACCCCCTGGATGATTCTGATGCACACTCAAGTTTGAGGACCACTGATTTATACAGATATCAGCACCATCCATGCTCATTATAACTGGTGCTGGTTTCCACCGCTACCGTTGGGAGCCTTCTGTTGAAAAAAGGCTGAGTCTGTTTGTTACCTTCCACCTAGATCTATTTTAAACATATAACACCATTAGGAACACTATTAAAAGCGTGTTTCTAGAACGTCAGGGAAGCAGAGTTGGTGTTTCTCCAAGACCTACATCTTTACCTGAGTCAAAGGCACCCCAGGGCTTGGAGGAGCCTGGGGAGGAAGCGGGAGTGGGGTCGCTCTCCAGGGAAAAGCCCAGAGCCTGAGCTCCATTCAGACTCAGCAGTCACCCACCACCTCTCCGGCTTCATGCTCGCTGGGTGGGGTTTCAGAGGTACCGGGCCCACTCCAGCCCCACTGAGCTGGGGAGATGTGCAATGGCTACAAACCCAAGGAGGCCCTCAGTCACGCATCAAAGCCATTCCATGCGAGTCCAGTGGGTTTCCAGATGACCTTATTATATTACGTTAACCTCCTGAAAATTGTCCAGCTGCTACTCCACGGCTGTGGCCCCCCGGGCTGTGGTCCTTTTGTTGTTGTTTCCTGTGATGGAACTTAAGAAATCCAGCACACTCCTGGCCAGAACAAATCCTGCTCCTGCAGCAGCTGTGACACCCATTATAGCCCATAGCAGGGCTTCACGATTAGCTGTTCTTTCCTATTATTCTTTGTAATTCAACACTTCTTTTCACAGTGGGATTTCTTTTTCCTTATCCTCTGAGTTGGAATGGAAAAAATAGCTGATGATGAGAAGGAACTTGGACCCCACATGCCGACACCCTGGGAAGGGCAGGTAAAGAGCACACAGGAGTCTTGCTGCATACCTGGGTAGAGTCACTTCCTAGATAGCCAGTGGTGGTGGCCAGCATGCCACCTGTGTCGGTGTCATGGCACAGCTGGGACCAGAGCCCTCTGCCCCCAGGGAGGGGCAGGAAATACCGAGGTCTGGAGCAGCCGGTGATGGCTTGATCTGAGTTTCAAAGAGCATTCTTGCTGTATACATCTTACAGAATGTGGCACATTCTGGACAAAGCCACGGCCTCTGTGAATCCCCTTTCTAAGTCCTGTTCTGCCTCTATGCTCTGCTGCAAGTAACCAATGACACCAGGTTGTATGTGTTTTTAAGGTATTCTATGAATTTACACATGTACATATGTATTCATAGAATATATAGCAGGTTTGAGTGTTTTTACATAAATAGGATCATTCTGTCTAAACTATTCTACATTTTTTCTATTCAATGTGGTTGGGAGATTTTATACATATATATATATATATATATATATATATATATATATATGTATATAAACTTCTGGAGGGGAATAATTTTGCATTTACGAAAACATTGCCAAGATAGTACAGAGTTCCCATGTACCTTACATCCAATTTCCCCTAAGGTTAACATCTTACATAACCATGGAATATTGGTCACAACTGAGAACTTAACATTGATGTATGGCTATTAACTTACTAACCTCCAGATTTTATGTATTCAGATTTCATCAGTGTTTCTACTTTTATCCTTTTTCTGATGCAAAATCCAATCCAGAACCCCACAGAGTGGTTTTTATTGGTCCATTCTGGTGCCTACCCATGGGTTCAGATTTGTCCTTAATTGCACTAATATCAGGGTTTTTTTCCTATGGAAATGTATTTCATATATATCAAAATGATATAGTCACCAGGTTTTCTGTACGTCATCATTACTGTAAGAGCTTCTAGCCCTACCCTCTGCTGATCCCCAGTATCTGTACTTTCACTCAGATCGCCACTACAGATTTTTGCCTGTTCTGTTCTCAGGGCCTAGAAC